AATTTTGACAACCACCCAGATAAGCCCTGGAGAAGTTGGTGAAAATGAATATTCGAGCCCTCAGGCATTATGGTGCTTCATGTTAGAAGAGGGGAGGATACTGCTTTCATGATCGGCATCCCTAGACCGGACATCTTAAACCCTACCTCAACCCGAAACTCTAATCCAGGGTTTAAGGTTTCAGGTTTGAGGTTTNNTTTAGGTTTCAGGATTTAGGGTCTAGGGTTTAGGGCTCTACCCTCAACCCAAATCATTAAGCCTACACCTCATGAAGCAACTGTCGAGAGGTACAAGGCTCCCCCTTTAGCCCAAACCTGCAGTCCTAAAGCATAAGTACCCAATAATTCGGTACGTGGGTTTTGTGTAATAGTAATTATAATACAGGTTTTGGGTAAGTATATGATTATTGGGTACTTGGACCCTTAGGGTTACTGGTAGACCTTTAGGTGGACTTTGTTATGCCCCACCCCAAAATAAGAAACTCCGTATCCTCAATCCTATATCCTATGCCTCATATCCCCAAATCCAAAACGATGAATGTTGGACTCTCAAACCTGAACCTTAAGCCCGGGCCATTTGTACACCCCCTCCCCCCTTACTCTCTCCCTGCTCCAAAGTAGCTCTCAAAGAAAGTCTGACTGGTGGTCGTTTGAGGTAAAGAGAAAACGTGAAATACAACTGTCACATTCAAGACTTTTGTTTTAGGCCAATCTGGAACTTTTTCCGAGTCAAACCACCATTTGGGATGTGGTCGGGTAAAGTCGTTACAATTTGCCCGGAACAGCCCCTAGACATCCATCATGTTGGGGTTAAAGGCTATTGTGGGGGGCATTTGGGAAGTCTAGGTATAAACATATGAGCTACAGTCAATATTTTTCCAGATATTCAATGGACATGGGTCCTGATGTGGGTTCCTTGTTGGAGACTATATTAAGGACTATACTAAACTACTACAAGAGGTCCCTGTGTCCGCCGTTAAGAGTTTTCCAAAATAAGGGACCCCAATGTAGAACCCTATCTACTATAATCCTTATCATAGGCACCCTAAAAAATGCTACCCCCCCTAATTCTGCAAAATCCTATATCTATATATCCCAAGCTACACCCAAGAAAAGCAGGGGCCCATGCAGCATACTCCTCAAAGCGCCTCTGCTCCAAAAGAGCCTCCACCTCTGCTTTGGGATTCCGAAAAGAGGGTTTAGGGTTTGGGGTGCGGGTTTGAAGTTTAAGGTTTTAGGCACACATAACTAAGGACCCTAAACAGCCCTAAGCCCCGAACCCTATGCCCCTATAACCTCAGGCCCTAGGCCCTAAACTCTAAACCGAAAGTCCTAACCCTAAGGTTCCCCAAGGCTCCCTAAGACCCCGTGCTGTCTCCTAGCATAGGACCGCCGTGTGAGGAGTCCTTCTAGGGCCATAGGGCTTCCGGAGCTTTTGTTTGCCATCATGGTGACCCCAATTATAGACCCCAAGATACTATTTAGGGCTTAGGGGTACTGACACCCCAAAAAGTACCCCTATTCTTGGGAAACACCCATATGGACATTGGGGTTTATAGCGCTGCTGTAGGGTTGAAGGGTTTTAAGGTTCGTTGCTGCTCCGGGTTTGGGCGCTTGGGATTCAAGTTTTAGGGGTTACCTTCCCCCGGACTTTCATGAAACCTGAAAAGGGGGCTCGTATAGACTATACTATCCT